TGCCAACCCTAGAGTTATTTTGAAAAAAGATCTTTTACCTTCAGACATTTAGAAAGTCTGTAGCTAGAGAAGCGGAGGCATTCCCAAAAAGCAGTGAAAAAGTGGAATAGCTTCAAGTAATGATACTTGAAGTGTGGTCTGAAGATGGGCAGCTTCGCCAGCCTTTGCCAGTTTATTAGATCTGCAGATTCTCAGCCTCCACCCCAATCCTACTGAATCAGAGGATGCATTTTAACAAGTGAAGTTAGAGAAGTTTTGCTTTTAAACACGGAATCCTGGTCAAGGATGACCTGCCTCAGAAAGGACTCCTCCTTCCCTAATCTTCTTGCCAAGTAACTGAAACCTAGGGGTGTTAACATATGAAATATGTCTACTGTATGTACATGTACTGTGCAATTTGAGTCTCTCCCAATGAGAGGTTCACTTTAGTTCATTTAATTAATCCAAACATTCCTCTTTAAAGAAACAACTAGGAGAATGAAGGGGCTACAAATAATTTGTATGTTAATGATTATTAGACCTTGTTGCCATATGCTGTTTTGTAAGGAAACGGAAGTTTTTTAGGAAGAGAAGAGAAGGTAATTTTGTAACATGGGTCATTTAGGGAATAGGCTGGGCCTGGATTGGAGAGGCTTCCCTGGTAGGGAAGAGTCTAGGGGAGCATGGATATTTATTGAGAAGAGGCAAGAGGAGGTGGGATAAAGGGAGCATCAAGGATTTTGCTTAGAAATGAGGAGAACATCTTCCCTTTTCCTGCTTCTGTGTTACAATAACTTGTATTGCTAAAACACAGGATCATGTTAACCTATCAGGTTTAACCTGGAAAGTTAATTACCATTTCTGACATTGTTTCTATTCAGCAATTTTCTACTGAGTATCATTATGGGCACACAGCAGAGTGGGTTGTACCCACGCATCGTCCTTTCCTGGGACTTTGGAGCCTAGGAAGGAATCAGATATTGAATCCAAGCTTATGCAAAGCATGGGAACGTAACTAAGGCTCAGTGTCTTCCTATCTCACAGGATTGTTGTGAGGATTCATTGGGGTCTACAAAAGGCTCAGAGAGAGAAGGTTCTCAGTAAATGGTGGCTCTTCCCCTTCTCTCCACATGCACCGCTCCCCCTTCCCCTCATGCTATTCCAGGCAGTTTGATTCTGATCTGTAGAGGTTAGTACTAAGAGGTTAGTGCTCAGAGTAGTAGTTGTGGGAGAATTATTTATAAGGTGCAGTGATAGGGAGGAAGTGGTTTTCTGTGGGAAGAGACATTTGGGGTTCTAAGTGAATGGCTTTAAGAATGGGTATGCATAGTTTTTGTAAATGTTGAAGATGAGAATCACCTTTGTTTAGGTTGCAATAATTTACAACTTGCTGAGGACAAAGGCTGAGCTGAAATTTCCCCAAAACTATTTATTTGGGAACCCCGAACACAAGCTTTGTGAGGCAAGTCTGGCATCTACTGTTACTTGTTAGGTCCCAGCACATGGCTCAGGGTTCCCACGTGATGTGCCACGGTGCTATGCTCAGTACTAGCATGAGTTCTAGTCCAACAAGTCTGAAAACTAGGGGATTTGGGATTTTCAGAGATCAAAGAGAAAGAAGTCAAGATAATAAAAACAAGGAGTTGAGCAAAATTGGAAAGAGTATTCCTAAAACACTTTATCACCCTCTTCACAGAACTTCAGTAGCTCCCTCTGCCTAGTTAGCTTGCCAGGTATCCCTCCTCATATTGGCCCAAAGTCCATTTCTGGCTCACCTTACTCTTTTACCTCTTCCTCTGCCCATTCAGTAGTCCCGCTAGCGATGACTCTTTCCACTCTTTCCAGCTGACCCAAACCACAGCCATCAATTAAGATCTGCTTCAAATCCCATTTCCCCTTCATCTCTGAGCAATTCCTGACAGTTTCAACTAATTGGGAATCCCCTTGCCAGCTTCACAAGTATTTTGTACACTTGCCTCTCATGGCCTTACCTCTGTCTTGACCCTCTGAATGCTTTGGAAGTTCCCCAAGTGCTGGGGATCTTAAAATTTTCTGTTCTTACCAGTTCTGTTTCTTACAAGTGATGGTTTCTTAATGTAAAAGGTAACCCTTGCTAGCTAAACTCCAACCATCTGAACCCAGGAACAGAATAGATTTGGATTTTTGGAGAGGGGACTATTTGAAGCAAAGTCACAGAGGGGTAGATACTTTCCTTGTGGCTCATCTCAGGCTGCCAGCTTGAAGTCTGTGAAGTTTGGGAAGAGAGGCACACAGTCAGATCCTGAGCCAGCTCCAGCCAGCTCCGACATATCATTTAAAGGGATCCCCACTTCCCAATTGGTTATGCAATCTCTGGAACCAAATATTAAGAGATTTATTTATTTATTTATTTATTTTTAAAGATTTTATTTATTTATTTGACAGAGAGAGACACAGTGAGAGAGGGAACACAAGCAGGGGGAGTGGGAGAGGGAGAAGCAGACTTCCCGCTGAGCAGGGAGCCTGATGCAGGACTCGATCCCAGGACACTGGGATCATGACCTGAGCCTAAGGCAGACGCTCAACGACTGAGGCACACAGGCGCCCCTATTAATAGATTTACATAACATGGTTTCCCTTCTCTCTAACTCATGGATGGGGCAGGGTGGTCATTTGTCCTTGATCATTGGATTCTTCTATTATGTTGGTGTGGTGAAGAGAATTCTCAGCCTTTAGACTAATTTTCTAATTTCTAAAAAAACAAAAAATATTTTTACAGGCTTCTATGTTAGAGAGCCAGTCAAGAGGTTGTGGGATTGGATCTGAGCAAAGTTTTATAGCTCTTTATTTGGACAGCCTGTGAAAGTAATTCTTTGAAAAACTAAGTGCATAGCAGATGTTCAATAAATATTGGCCAGATGATTGATATAAGGAAAGAGCCAAGAAAGAGGAATAATTTCTTTGTATATCCAGTGGAATTGTACAACACAATGTAAAAGTAACATAAAACAAGAAACCACATGGCTTCATGTTTACTTAATGTCCGATTGGATCAGTGGTTGTGAGGGTGGCCAGGGATTTGCCTGGCACAGTTAGGAAACAGGAGTTCATTTGAGCTTAATGTAAGTACAGGCATTTGTAGAGAAAGTGTACTAATTCTTATCATGGACTAAGTAAAAGATAAGGCAGTTTTTGTAAAGTAAAATTAGGTTTAGAAGCAGTAGAAGAAATGGTGAATTCAAGAGCACCCTAAAAAGAATGGTAAAAGTTGGGTCCATATTGTGCTGGGCATATGATCATTTTTTAATCTGTTCTTCTTCTTTGGGGAGACTAAAGACACTGAACCCAGCATTATCCTGCTTATTTGAATTGGATTTCCTAATTGAAACGAACTACTGCTACACAGATAATCTAGGTAAGAAAGTTAAAGCCTGTTTCCTTTAATAAACAGTGCTGAATTTGGAAGACTAGCTTAGCCAAAATCTTCTTTTATAACTGGAGATTCTAAAAAGCAATAGAAAATCGGCCCCTTAGCATTTCCCAAAATATTCCAATCCATCTGCTTGAAAAAATTACTGCCAAATATTTTAATTTGTTCATAAGAAAGAAAACACATTGACTCTTAAAGCTGTGCTCTGGGTTTTTCATCCTCCATTGAAGTGTATATAGAACCACTCTTCAGAAGGGTGTTAGGATTATAGGCAACTACCTGCATCACCATTCTCTTGTTTAAGCAAATGTTGTACAAACTTGAAATCTTATCCTCTTTGGAGGTTTATCATCCTCTTTCCTCACGTGCGCATTACAAAAGAAAAACAAAAACAAAAATCTGTCAGGACCCTAACCTTTTGCCCTCCTTGAATTCTTATGGACTTGAGCAAAACCACTGAAATAATTATAGGCTCAGTGTTTGCTCCTTATTTGTAAAATCCTGGGAGTTATACGTCAGGTTTTTCTTTGACTTTTTTATTTTCTTGGTTGTTTGGTAGTTTTGTAATGGAAAGAGGATTGAATATCTGAGTTTAGTCATCAAAAACCTGTCATTTGATCTCTCTAAAGGAAATAGGGTCTCCTTAATTTTGGTGGAGCCTTCACGGTTAGTAAAACGAAACAACAAAAATACTGACGATACTTAGGTTGTAATTCTAACTCCCACCAATGCTATTTGGCCCTACATCCACATTAAAATTTTTCTTTCCCATATATGTATGCAGTTTCTCAGATGGGAATTCTGGGAATGTTTAAGTCCTAGATGGGAGCTAGATAAGGCCGTAACAGCTGACAATGATGTGGCAACATACGCTTTCTTGGGTGCCAGTTTCTTAAGTTCATGTTGAAAGATCCAAAATGAAATTGGAAGCAATAGAGATGATAAGGGCCCCCAAAGTGGGTCACAATTTTATAGCATTGCTGTTCAAAAGTGTTGGTAAAAGAGAGTCTCCCAAAAGGCTTGGATATTGATTTAAAAGTAAAATAAAAGGACCTGACTCAAATCACCTTGGAAATGGTTTCACTTTATAATATAAAATATTATATGATCAAGGTTAAAACACTGATAAAAATGGGGCGGCTGGGTGGCTCAGTCGGTTGAGCGTCTGCTTTCGGCTCAGGTCATGATCCCAGGGTCCTGGGATCGAGCCCCACACCAGCTCTCCACTCAGGGGGAGCCTGCTTGTGCTCTGACCCTCCCCCCTGTTTGTGCTCTCTCTCTCTCAAATGAATAAATAAAAAATCTCAAAACAAACAAAAAGCACTGATAAAAATATTAGCTGTCTCTCTGCAATGAGTACTGTTATAATCATAATGCAGATTGATACCAGTCCATATTAGTATTCTGAAGAAGTGCAGCCCCATAGTGTTGAACTTTCATTTCTATTGAAATCCCCACTTTGTAGTTTTTGTTTTTTTTTTCCCAGAGTGGTAGTGGTGGTGTGTGGGGTGGTGGTGGTATGCAGTCTGACCTGCATGATGAATGTGCTTGGATCTGTTTCAATCTGTTCCCAAACATTGGAGGTACTAAGGCCATCTCTCTTATTTTGTAGGGAATTCATCTCTCGGTGACTCATGCCAACAGTTATCTTGATAGAACGAACATCTGTTACCGTAATTACTGCTGCTTTTCTTTCATGCTCATCTCATGAACAAGGTGAGACACCCCTTCTGCACCCACAGGGTTGTGGGTGCGATCACTGGTGCTCACGATAGAACGAACATCTGTTACCGTAATTACTGCTGCTGTTCTTTCCTGCTCATCTCGTGAACAAGGTGAGACACCCCTTCTGCACCCACAGGGCTGTGGGTGCGATCACTGGTGCTCACCCGTGAGGACAGAATTGGGTTATTACAAACCCTCTGACTAATTGCTGCTTAGTAACTAACTTCTAGCAGGACTCAGAAGCCTTGGCATTGGTGCCATTGGGGAATGGGAGAATTTGCAATTTCTTCCGCTGCTCGCATGAATGGGGAGCATCTCTCTCTCTCTCTCTCTCTCTCTCTCTCTCTCGTGGAAGTCTCCTTGGAACAGGGGACAATGAGCAGGTGAGAGAGCTTGTTTCCCTCAACTGGAGCTCTCATCAGTTGTTCAGCGACTAGGCTACTCCCTTAAGGCTTTCTCTGACATTTTATTTTCTAGTCTTTCTGTTTGCTTGCCACTGTGTCTCCTTAGGTTATACATTTCAAATGTTGAAATAAAAGAGTACAGTTTTTTGACCTGATTGATGTCCAGTAATACTCGGGATTGTTAAGTATGATGAAAGATCATTTCATTTTTTTCCGTGTTTTTTGTTTTTTTGTGTGTGTGTTTTTATTTGTTTTGGTGGTGGTGGTGGTGGTTAGGGGTTGCTTCAGAGATTTATAAGTTTATCATTTACTAAAAAACTCCAAACTGTCTGCTTTATAAATAAATAGCCTTAATGGAGGACCTATTAATAAAGGAAACTGTTTTGGTTATATTTCTGGGAAGTAGTGATTATATTAAGTTTTAAGATTCTATTCAGCTAAGACCCGATTAAAGCAAAACCAGGGAATTGGCCATCTGGAAAACACTATTAATGGATCCAAAAATGTCATTGTCACTTGAGTCATGTGATAGATTTTGCACTGAAGAAAAATATGGTGGGTCGAGTAAAATCCAAAGCCTATGAAAATGTCTTGCTTTCTAATTCTATTCTTTCTTTGGGCAATTTATTTTGCATGTCATTTCCAATTAACTATAATTCCTCTATCACTTATGTACATAATTTAACATTTAGTTTTTGTAGTCCCATGCTGCTTGTTGTTTTTATGATGTTGTCTCCCCAAATGGACTGTAAGCTTCTAGGGAACATGAACCAAGTCTTTCCTTTTTCTGTATATTCTGCAGTGCCTAACATGGTTCTGGACATAAAATAAATGCTTAATGAATACCTAGTGCTTAGTAATCTGGCTAATGGTTATTGGGTCAATGTGTTTACCTTCTTGGTATTTTTATCATCTGGTTTCATAGCTTTTGCTATGGAGCTTTTTGGAGCCTTGTATCATTTGCTTCAGCACCTAGCAATACCAACTCACACATTTTCACCCATTGGTGGAGTGTGACAGTTCAAGCCAGAGACTCAAACTTTGTAAGATCTTTTACTGTCAGATTGGGTAGCTCAAGTGTGTAATATAATGGAAATGGTAGAGGCCAGAGGAAAGGGAAACAGTTCCCAGTATATTTGACTGTAGTGGATTGAGAGAATTGTGGATACTATCCTTTTGATTCTTTGGCTCAAACACCATATACTTTCTTGATAAACACTTTGGCATATTTTGGCATCTTTCCTAAGTATGGATTGCTTCTGTACTTGGCCTTTTCAGGTGTTATGGTAGTAGAGCTTTTTAAATTTTTTTTTAAGAGATTTTTTTAAAAAGATTTTATTTATTTGTCAGAGAGAGAGAGAGGGAGCACAAGCAGGGAGAGCTGCAGACAGAGCAGGCAGAGGGAGAAGCAGGCTCCCTGTTGAGCAAGGAGCCCAATGTGGGACTTGATCCCAGGACCCTGAGATGATGACCTGAGCTGAAACCACCTAGGTGTCCCAGTAGTAGAGCTTTTTGAAAGTTCATTGTGAGGGAAAGGTAAACAAAAGTGGGAAACATGATTATTCTGATTGGTAAATTAATCATACAGACTTATAAAATTTATGGAACTGGGAAGTGTCTCAGAGATTATATTGTCCCATTCTTTCATTTTTATAGGTGAGAAACTCAAGGACCAGTGTGGTTAAGTAAGAGATGTGGGTAAGGTCAATAGTTAATAAAAGTCAAGAATAGAACAATATTGCGAGTAGCTTGAGATAATCAATTTATATTATTTCTCAATTCTCTGGCCTAGTTTGTACAAAGTATTATTCTGTAGATAGATATCTGGGAAACCCACACATTCTTAAAAAGTATACATTTTTTAAGAAGAAAGTTTTTCAAAAGAATTTTTTATGTGCACATATATTGAACAACTCTTCAAAATGACTTCACATGGAATATAGTTGAGAGAGAAAATACCATGTAGTGGGGGGGCATCTATTTGAGAAATCTAGGTCATAATTCTAAGTCTGTTGATTACAAACTGTATGACCTTGCAACAAAAATCATACAGCACTCAGAAAGTCAGTTGGTATTGGGGCACCTGGGTGGCTCATTTGTTTTAGCATCCGACTCTTGGTTTCAGCTCAGGTCATCATCTCAGGGTCCTGAGATTGAGCCCCAGATTGGGCTCTGTGCTGAGCATAGAACCTGCTTAAGATTCTCTCCCTCCCTCTCTCTCTGCCCTGTGCATGCATGCTCTTGCTCTCTCTCTCAAAAAAAAAAAAAGTCAGTTGGTGTTATCATTCAGAAATTAAAGAATTAGACTAGACTCCCTCTGGGAGCCCTTTTAGTTGTAAAATTCTGTACAAAAATGAAGCAATGGTCAACACTTGGAACTTGACATGATCAAAGCTTTATGAAATCAGAATAGAGACTGATGTATCTAGTGTCTTACCAAACATGTCAGTTGCTCAACATTTAGAATTTCATTTCTTGATTCCAGACTGTATCTATGCATTAGGCATTATCAATGCTCTTCCAGATGATTTCTATTTCTTAGGCTTCATTTGAATATTTCTTCTTTGTTTGGAGCTTGTTATAGGAATATGAATAATGGGAACAGACACATACAACGTATAAACTTATTATTTAGGAATCTTTGGCTCTTCCAAATGAATAGTCCATACATGTGTTAGATGTATTGGTATATTAAAGAATCAGGAAAATTAGGTTGTTTAAACTTGAAGCATTTTTTATTGAAAAGTGCTATAACTGCACCAGGGGCTAGTTTTGTTGAATTAGTGTGTTTTGCCGGGTAAACTTCCCTTACTTTATATTCTGTGGAAAAGTAAATCCAGAGTTTCTTAGCCATGCTGGCTCTTATTCAAGGAGAATGTCCTAGGAGGGCAAATAAGGAGCCATCTGGTCATACTTAAGTGTCATTTTACCTTGTCTGGCATGCTGGGATATGGTTACTCTTGTTTGCTGATTGTCGTGAACTCAAGTGATCAATCTTTCACCAGCCCAAACTCAGACTCTGTCTGTCATGCCCATAGCCTTAAAATTTCCACCACCTTTCTTTATAGGACAGCTGGTCAGTAATGACTCCCAAAGAGCCATTTGCAATCTGTTTATAGGGTGCTTTTGGAAGATTCTGTGTGGCGAAGGCAATGTGCAGCCAGTGGGGTGGCAATATTTTCCTTGTGGGGGAAGGTAGATTGGCGATAGGAGATAATATGTGTAGGACAAGCTCATAGCATAGGGTCTAGCACATTTTAAGTGCTAGGGAAATATGTTATTATTCTGGTTTATAATTTTATCTCTAGGTAGGCAGTCAACAAGCAGACTTATGTACTTGTTAAGACTTGGGAAAGATCTTCCAGAATATTTGATTTATTGTAGAGTTTTAGCATAGTATCCTTTCTTTTGTTTAATTTTTAAAAAAGAAGCTAACTTGTTTTGTGGCTCAAGTATCCCTCATTTTGGGGATTAGCAACTAGGGCCTTAATATGTACTGAAGGCTTTTGTATGTAGAAATAATTCAGGCTCCTTTTCAGAGTGTGGGAGTAAGAGAGGGTGAATTGTGAGAAATGGGATCATTCTTTTGAAATTTATATGCTGTTTTTGGATGAAAACACAAGGAATAAAAATACTAGATCATATTGTAGCTGTTTAAAATTAAAGGACTTTATATTTTTGGCTGCAAATGGTGGGTTAAAATTTTTCTGTTATTTATCAGATATATTTCTTTAACACGAATAATTGATTTTAAATCATTGGACAAACTACATTATTGTCTTTCAAATTTCTTTTGCTTCACAAATTAATTTAAGTAATATAATAATTTTAATTTTATACTTCACATTCTTAGTGTTAAATATTACTATGGTCTTCACTGAAGGTGTGTGCAAATTTAGTAAATAAAGGTCATTTTAATTTAAAATGTCAAAGAAGACATTTCCCCCAAAAGAATGCCACAATTTAGAAACAATGCAGAATTTATATTTAAAGCAACTTGATAAGAAAATGTATAGGAAAAGTTGCCATCACATTTTATAATTTTGAATTTTAGAATACTTTAAAAAGCTACTGTTAACATAAAGTCGATTGAGATAAAGATATTTGTGACCACTAATTTTATTCAAGTTTGTTTTAGAAATTCCAACCAATGAAATTATCCTGGAAAAATAAATCAGGAAGATAAAAAAATCATCATTATTTGTAAATGATATGGTTGACTACTTAAAAAAAGACCAAGGAAATGAAAATAGTATAAAAATTAAAAAGGGGGCCTATGTTTAATCCCAGTAAGAATCAGGCAAATGCAATTTAAACAGAAATGAGATTTGCTTTTACCTCTCAGATGGGCACTAATGTCATAAGAGCAAATTTTTATTGAGTACTTATTGTGTATCAGGCATTGTAGCAGCTCGTTTAATCCTTAAAAATAACCTCTGAGGTAGGTATAATGGTACAATCTTTGCTTTACAGAAATCTGCAGAAATGTTGGGTAACTTTCCCAAGAGTTAGTCCATGGCAGAGCTGGGATTTGAACCCAGCTGTAGAATTCTAGTTCTAGAACCTGTTCTCTTAGCCACTAATCTGCCTCCAAAGATTGATAACATCCAGTGTTGGTGAAGTAGCTATCTCCCCTAGATTGCAGGTGTGAGGAATGTTCACTGCAACTTCTCTCTAAAAGGCATTCTGGTGACACTTGTCAACAC